TATGATTGGTCTTATCATAGGAATTATATTCAATCTGATTGGTGTAGCTAAGGTAAGTCAAGACAGTTCGAGGTAAAGGTCACATCCAAAGCAAAATGCTTCCAGAATGAGTTCTTTCTCGACAGTGAGGTGTTCATGCTTTATCTACTGCCACCATTAGTGTTTGATGCTGGTAAGGCAATTCTCTCTTTATGTCCTTCTACATCCTAAACTTTGTGATATTAATATCAGAATGATTATCTTTCAGGATACTTCATGCCTGCTCGGCAATTTTTCGATAACTTGGGTTCCATCCTCTGCTTTGCTATGATTGGTACCACCTTCAACATTGTGGCTATCTGTGAGTTCTTCTATGATATGATTCAGTTTGCGCAAAAAAAAAGAAATGAAAAAGTCACGAAATTGTCAAAGATGCATTGCAGAAGAAGCTGGAACTTCCGTATTTTCTATTGAAAAATTTGAAATAACAAATCAGTACGGCTTAGGGCAACAAAAGGCTTTTTTTGCAACCCTCTTCCTTTTTTCCAATTTTGCCGTGTATCGTTTTTTGTTTTAGGCAGAATATAAACTATAACACAGAATAATTATTCAAATAATGGAGAGACGCTTCTACTTAAACTTTTACAGCGCTCTCCCTCTGGGCTATCTCGTTGACTGGTTTATTCTCTGTTGAAACTCCGCTGATTCACTTATTACTTTTTGGATCTGTGGCTGCTGATGTCGACCCTGTTGCTGTCATAGTTATTTTCGAAGAGTTGGGGGTAAGGTGATTGTTCTCGTTGCTTAAATTAGAACGAAATGGTTATAGTTCATGATAATATTTGCAATTTGCCACTAAATTACGCTAGAATAACGCGCTTTCATGTCTTATTTATACAATTTGCTAACAAGGGAAGGATACTTGGTCGAAGTGGCGGTTTAAAAAATAATGCATACTGGGCAGCTTCAGACGCTGATTCCAAATCTGCCTTCCATATCTGCGAAGCATTTCTCTGGATGAAGTTATGGAAGCTTTTCTATGTTGAAATTAGCATGTACACCTCGTCAATAACTGCTCTACAACATCAAATCCAAACAGAAACAGCAAGAAGCAAATGGTTTGATTTTATCATGAAGACATTTTTTTAAAATCTAATCAGCCTTCGTGCTGCTGTTTTGGGTCAAGTCTGAACTTTTGAGCATTTTAACCCAGGTCCTGTAAGCCATTTTTGATAGAGAAAAATCGCCGTAACTTCTTCCAGAAAAGCGCTTCGCAAATATGGAAGGTGGATTTGAAATCAGCGTTTAAAACTGCATGTAAAGAAAGGTATCCTTTTTGAACAGCCACTTCGAGCAAGTATCCTTCCCTTGTAAGATAAAAAAATGGTTAAATTTTGGATTTCAAAAATTTGTTTCACATAAGATTAGATTCCGTTGAAATTTTACTAAAAATCAAAAAGGGTTTGTGTTTTTCTCGTGCAACAAGATAAGCTAAAATAAAGAATTTGCTCTTTTTCTCTGATAACATAAAGGGCCAAAATGCAGCGAATTGATTTTCGTCTATCGCAGGAGCATCTTCTAATTTATGGCCATAGCGCGTAAACGACTTTTGCTATCAGTGCAGAAGCAATGTTGCGGATTGTAAAAGAAACTTAATTGGTGTCGAGACCACGGGAGAAACACGAATTTGCTTGGAATCTCAAAAGCTGAGTCAAAGATTTCCTTTTCAGGTGAACGAAATTCTATTCATCAGTGTGTTTGGCGAGTCATTGCTTAACGATGGTGTGGCTGTTGTAAGTCTTCTTTCCTGTTTCTTCTTCTGACTTAAAATCATGTAATTTTCAACTG